GGAAAGAGAGGAATGAGAGATGAAAGAGAAAAGAAAGAGGAATGAGAGATGAAAGAAAGGAAAAAGGGGAATGAGAGATAAAGGAAAGAGGGAGGGAGGGAGGGAGAGGGAGAGGAATGAGAGAGAGAGAGAGAGACCTTGTCCTATTCCCACACAAAAGGAGATACTCATCCTTGCTAACTCTGCCGGGGTGTCGTCACTTGAGAAGAAGATTCCACCCCCTCAAACAAGCGAAAAGCCCACTCAGCATTTAAGGGGAAGGGTCTACCTGGAGCGGAAGCATCTGCTCCGATTCTAATAGGCTGAATAGGTCAGATCTGTGGATGACAGGCACCCTAAATGTTTTCCCCCCAAAAGGGGGCAAGGTATCCCCCATAAGCCTTTTTACTTTAGGGGTTGGGCGTTTGTGTTGGAAGGCAAACCAGGTTAAACTGAGCCTTCATTCTAGCAATAGCCGAGTCTTGTTTTGGAGCAACAAGGCAAGTTTTAAGACTTGTGGGCTTCAACTCCCAGAATTCCCGAGCTAACATGGACTGGAGGAGGAATTCTGGGAGTTGGAAGTCCAACAAGTCTTAAAAGCTGTCAAGTTTGAAGGCTCCTGTTTTAGAAGAAGGGAAGAGGGAAATTCCTTTAAAAGGTTCACGGTTTCTGATCAACGCAGCACGTACGAGGAAACACCAATTGGGGTGTGTGTGTGTCTTTGGGGATAACCTCCCCCCCGCCCTCCCAAAAAAGACTCCATTTCTCTGCCCTCCTCCCTTCCCCGAAATCTCCATCTTTTTTTCTTCTTCTTTCGCATCATCCGCTGTCTTTACAGCTTTGCTAACGTCAGTTCAGGATTTTCCTCTTGGGATGCAAAACGTGGCACTAACTCGCCTGGCCCTTCTGTTGGACCACAACTGCCAACTTTGTGTCTTTCTTTTGGGGGGGGGGCGCAAGGGGTGGGAGGAACCACGAATAAAAGTGCAATTAAAGGAAATGAACTTGCCACTCATCCCGACTCTTCCTTCTAAGAGAGGACGGATCTGGTTGCGCCCCGTAGTCACACTTAATTTTTGTATTGAATTTCCAAAGCTTCATTGGGGGGCGGGGGTAGCCTGGGGGAGGGGGTGGGCTGGAGGGTGTGTAGGCAGAGGGTTTTAAAACTGGGGTACATGTGTGTGCATTTTTTTGTTGGTTTGTTTTAATTCTGTTACGATTCCTCTTAGTTTTAGTAGATTTTCTATCTCACAAAAGGGACAACTTTGCTACTGGTCTTAAGTACCATCTATTGATGGCACCAGGCTACCTAGAAACTGGGAAACTGGGAGTTCTAGTCCTCTAGTTATTGGAGGTTCTTCAAAGAGCTAGATCTCTTAGTTTTTTTTTAAAAAGGAATCTTTTATTGCAACTTTCAAAAAGTTTTCTATGACATAACGTGATAGCAGAAATGATGACAGAATTGTTAGTCAAAGGCCACAAAATGTGTCAGTTAATTGTTCCCAATAGTTGAGATGGCTCAGGATGAAAGTAGCCTTGGAAATCATCCACTGATTTATTGATCCATCCACCAATTCATCCATCCATCCATCCACCAATTTATTGATCCATCCATCTCCTAATTCACCCATCCATTTATCCATCCATCCCACAATTTATTGATCCATCCATCAATTTACCCATCCATTTATCCATCCATCCAT